CTCTGTCTCTCCTCTTCTCTATATTATCTGACTTTCCAATAAAAATAAATAAATCTTTAAAAAAAATGTGAGCTTTATAATCCATTGGTTACAGATAGAGATTGTCAGATTAGATTAAAAAGAAAGCAAGAGTCAACTTTATGTGCCATTAACGCACTTTCAGTACATATAAATATACAAACAGATTTTAAAAATAAAGAATGAGGGAAATATCAAAACACTAATGAAAGTAGTAATGGTTTTAATATCAGGCAAAATCGTTTGCAGAACAAATGCAGCCAGAGATTTAAAAGCATTGTTTCATAATGATGAATCGGGTAAATTTGTTAACGTACCTTACAGCTCTAATTAGTTATGTTCCTAAATTCTGTATGTAAGACACTGGACTACGTACCATGAAAGATTAAAGAGGCGGGAGAGAGAGAAAAAGAGAGAGTGAGTGAGAATTTTGCTCCTTAGGACTTCTTCAGCCTTTCTGCTCAACCTAGTCTATCTCTGACCATTTTCCTTAAACACTGAAAATTTTAGCCTCTAGTTCACACCTCTCCTCGCAACCATATATTGTCGGTGACTTCATCTTGGTTCCCTAATTTACTCATTTTTAGTAGTGTTCATCTTCATTGCAATGCAGCCATGCACTTCCAAGATCACTTCTTAGAATACATTAAACAATCCAGCAATGTTCTGTCTTTGGAATATTTAAAGCACCTCACACTCTCACTACAAGCTCTTAGGCTCTTTCTCTGTTGCTCCTGTTGTACCTATTAAATTATATTAGAACTTTTTGTGCCTTTTAAAAAAAATTCCTAATTTATTTGAGAAATGAAATACTGGGGGATGGTGTGGGGGGATGTGCGGAGAGACTCGGTGGGATCCAGTCCAGGTCCCATGTGGGTGACCAGAACCCAATCATTTGAATCATCTGCTGCTTCCCAGGGTTTACATTAGCGAACAAGAATCCAAAGCTAGGAACTGAACCCATGTCCTAATGTGCCTTTTTCCTTTTTAAGATTTATTTATTTTTATTGGATAGTCAGATATACAGAGAGGAGGAGAGACAGAGAAGATCTTCCCTCCAATGATTCACTCCCCAAGTGACTGCAATGGCTGGAGCTGTGCTGATTCAAAGCCAGGAGCTCTTCAAGGTCTCCTACACAGGTGCAGGGTCCCAAGGTTTTGGGCCATCCTCAACTGCTTTCCCAGGCCACAAGCAGGGAGCTGGATGGGAAACGAGGCTGCCAGGATTAGAATCAGTGCGCATATGGGATCCCAGCACGTTCAAGGCAGGGACTTTAGCCACTGGGCCATGGCACTTGGCCCTCTAACCTGTGTGTTAACTACTAGGCTAAAAGTCCACTTTCTCCTGTTTCTTAAAACCTTTATAAATCCCCTATCTTCTTCACACAGCTGAAAACTCCAGGCCTTATATTGTAATCACTCCTTCATCAGCACCCTTAACTTCCTTGCTCCACGATTATTCTATCACTTCTGCTAGTCATACTTCACTAGCCTGGTCCAATTTTCAATTCAGCTGCCCATCTTTTCCAAGCTCACATCTTAGTACTAAGTAATGCTCGTAAAAATACCATCATACAGAGCTGTGGTGGTACTATAAATGCATGATTTATACCTTCAAAATTGTCTTTAATACTGCCAGCCAATCCTCTTACCTGTCCTTAGTCAAGCATTATTATCCTTCAAAGCAACACTTTCAATTTACATCCGTTCTCCTCAAACTTCTGACTATGCTATTTTGTACTCCTCCCCAGACCCGTACCCACCTCCAGAAAATTACCTCTAGTCTATTTTACTTTCTTGCAAAAGAAAATCCTTAGGGGAAATAATGCTGTAGGAAAATGGAAAGAATAAGAGCAGGTAAGGTAGGAGATGGATGCCATGGCAGGATTCTTGGGAAATTTTCATTTTAGGAAGAAGAGAGGTAGAGGCACGTGTGCACTAAGGTGCAGGAAAGTGCCAGATTTGGGGTTGAAGAAGCATCTTGGAAGTGGAACTCAAGCCTCAGACACCTGCTGACAGCACATGGTCGGAGATGAAACATCTATCCAAATTCTTCCAAAATTCCTGATTTATGAAATCATGAGCAAAGTAAGAGTTGTTTTAAGCCACCAGTTTGTTTCCCACCAACAGACAACATCTTATGGCTCTTTTCAATCAACATTTAATGCCTACCTTGCCTGTTAAAAAAACAAAAACAAAAAACAAAACAAAGCCTCTTCCCTCTACTTTACACAACTCAAGCTGTACCTCTGCTTCAGCTCTATCTCCATGCCCTTTTGTAGGCAAAATTATGTTGAAAAGCCATCAGTAATGCTTTATCTGTCATTCACAGCTCATCAGATCCCTACCGCCTAAACGCCTTTGCTACTGTCTTTCTTGTTAAAGCCTTTTAGTTCTTACTGGTTGCTTCTACTGTATCTAAAAAAGCAGGCACTCACCCATACTCTGTAATGCTCTCTTTTTATGACATCATTTCTGATATCTTTCTTATATCTCCAAGTTCTTCTATTTCAATCTTTTTTAGGAGTAGAAAACTCTTTCCAGGCCCTAAGTGCTGAAGTTCTTCAGGATTTTATGTTCAGCCACCTTCCTATCTCATACTAAAATCTTCTTTTGGATAAACATCCATTTTTTAGACTTCAGTAACTCAGTAAAAACAGGGATTAGCAGCTTTGAAACCAGACAGATCTGAGTTCAAGACACAGCTGTTACATTTAGTTTCTGTGGTGATAGAACAAGTTACTCACTTCTGTAAGCATTCATCTCCTCATCTAGGCTAATACTACCTCATGGCTTCCCAGTTTTTCTGCTGAACCCCTCTCCCTACTCTACTGTCCTTCCCAATTCTGCATCTAGCTCAGACTAAAAACTCTACAGGCTCATAGCTCCCTTCCAAACATGCCACAGTCTGTTTTTCCTGTCCAGTGATTTCTCTGCTTTTTGTATCCAGTATAGGTTGCACAGTGGCCTGTTTCACAGGAGGTCCGGTGGGGTAGTGTCCTATCATCAGCAGATGAACATGTTCCCCACAGAAGGTTTTTACCTGAAGAACTGGTGTAAGATCTGCATCAGCAGTTTCTCTAGCTGCAGTGGTGGAAATTATCTCAAGGTAGCAGATGTTAAGCTACCAGATTTTGGCTCCTGTCCTGGCCACTGTAGCCCTTTGAACCTGGAATTGCATCCAGGTCTTCCACATGGATGATAGGGGCCAAAGTATGTGGGCCATCCTCTGCTGCTTAAATGTACCACTATAGGGACAGCCTTATGGTATAGCAGGGAAGCTACCGAATGAGGTACTAGCATCCTATCTGGGTGCCAGTTCCTGTCCTGACGCTTCAATTCTAATCCAGCTCCCTGCTAATTATTGGGAAAAGAGGTGGAAGATGGGCCAAGTATTTGGGTCCCTGACATCTACTTGGGAGACATGATTGGAGATTCTGGCTCCTGGGTTCAGCCTCACACAGCCCTGGCCATTGGGGCCATCTTGGTGATGAACTAGAAGATGCAAGATTAATCTTTCTCTCTTGCTCCTTGCCTCCAGTCCTCCTCCCTTTGTCCCTCCCTCTCTCTCCTGCTAACTCTGATTTTCAAATAAGAAAATCTCTTTTAAAAGTTTTCATTATGTCTACTCTAAATCAATGAATAGAGCAGATGATCAATAAACATGCGCTAATGGAAACAGAATTAATTCTAAACAAAATAATAGTTACTTTCAGATGATACAATGATGTCTTGATTTTAATATCTCAGAGAATAGGATAAATAAGCTTCTAAAAACATTTTTTGGTATCTATTTATTATTTCTGCTTTTGCTTAATCTTTCGGGTTCAGAAGGTTTTCATCAAACCACTCACTTTCTTAATGAGAGGAAGCTGATCCTAACAGTAGTTACTAAGTTCAATAATAACAAAGTAATGCCTTCTCATGTGTTTCTCTATTCACCATGTCTACACAGCACTATAACACTGAGAGCTATCCTGACCATTGAATATTTCAAAAATCAAAAAAGGAAAACTAAGGCTATATATGCAGATTAGAAATCTAATGTATCAGAAGTCTTTAGTTTTTAATTAACGTTTCAACAAATTCGTACAATCAAGGTTGAGGATCCTTTATCTAAAATGCTTGCCAGAGGTATTTCAGATTTCTGAGTTTTTCAGATTTCAAATATTTTCATAGAATTTACTGGTTTTCCATAATTCAAAATCCTGAAATATTAATGGTTTGAAAATCTGAAACCTTGAGCACTATGTTGGCACTACGTTGACACAATTTCAAAGAAACCAAATATTAATCTGCAAACCTGAATATTCACAAACTATTCTCCAACTATCCAGATGTGGAACACAACAAAATTTTAAGTATTTTATCATTACTGCATATAAAGTACCACCTTTATTAAGACAGAAGCTTTATCAACAATGTGTATCAACAAAACATGACTTATGGCCCTGTAATACTTGAAGCAATACTTGCAATTTAACTAATTTAACTACCGTGCAGACTGTTATGTGATCTTCAGTAACAAGACAAAGGCAATTTTACTCAACTGAACAAGACAAATACTTTTTAATCATCTAAAAGAGTATAATCTTCAAATTTTTGTTGAAATTTAAAAAGGCACATTTTCAAATATTGGCACCCATATTTTAAACAATTTATCCAAATATTTTAAAAATTCTTCTTTCTTTTAAAATTAAAAAAATATATATATCTTTATATGGCTAGTGTATTATTTTAGGTGGTTTGGGAAGCTCAAATAAAACCCCACTCTAATATTCCACCAGATAGTTTATATGGCTAGTGTATTATTTTAGGTGGTTTGGGAAGCTCAAATAAAACCCCACTCTAATATTCCACCAGATAGTTTGTGCTACACAACATTACTTTTTGGTCTAGATATAAATGCTAAGAAGCACCTTGTAACAATAGTTAGCTATATAAAAAGTAACGACTTTTAATTATTTTAGCTAGTTACTTACCGAGAGCCATGCAAGGGATTCCATGATTCGATGCTCACATCGTTCCAAGTGTTTTATCATTTCTCTTGTCAAGTTGGCTTCTGCTTTGATAAAACTTTCAATCACTTTGTAAAAATCAAAAGGCTTTAAATTAAGTACACTCAGAATCCATGGGAAGGACAAATTTGTTCCAGAATCAAGATTCTGAGATGTACTTCCTAAAAACAAAAGAAAAAAAAAGTACAGATATGAAGTGTTAAGACTTCAACTTAGTTTTTTATCCAAATGGTCTTATCCAATAAGAATTAAAACACAATAGAACAGCTAAGCAATTTTTACTTAGAGCGTTTTTTTCTCAAAATATTTGCTTATTTATTTGTTCAAAAGGCAGAATGCCAGAGTGGGTGAGTGAGAGAGAGAGACAGAGAAAGATCTTTTAATCACAGGTTCACTCTTCAAAATCTGTGATAGCCAGGACTGACTAAGGCCGAAGGAATAAGGCAGGAATTACATCCAAGGTCTCCTCTGTGGAATTTCAAGGACTCATACACTTGGACCATCATTTGCTGCTTTCCCAGGCACACTGGCAGGCTCCTGGATCAGAATCAGAGCAGCCAGGACTCGAAGTGGCACTCTGTTATAGGATGCCAGTAACCTAAGTAGTTGGAAAATAGGCTCCATATATCAAGTGTATGTGACGTTACACTTAGGGAAAAGGTTCATAGCTTATATCAAAATCTCAAAGGCTTAAATATCCTAAACTTACGTAGGGACAGGTTTAATATCTCATTAGCTATTCATTAACATAATCATTTTAACTTTCATTAATCCTTGGAAGAGAGAGAGAAAGATTCTTTAAAATTTTACTATTTCACTAACTGAAAAACAGCATTTCATTTTTTATGGGCATTTCTTGGTTAGTAAGAAAACATTTCCATGTGTGTTTAGTAATTTTACTTGCTCTCCTATTAAGTGTATATTTATTTGTATCCTTAGATAAACATTCCTATTTTGTTTTTTGCAACCAAAAATTTTTTAACATTTGCAACACTACTTACAAAATAATATACATCTAAAATTATACTTTACGAAAACACTGTTATTAGGGGGCTCAGCATTAGCAGCAAGTTAAGGCACTATTCAATCCATATGCATCCCATATTACAGGGCTGGTTCAAGTTCCAACTGCCCCATTTTCAGTCCAGGTTCCTGTTAAATGTAACAGGATGACCAGTCAACAATAGTCCAAGCACTTGGGCTCCTGTCACCCCTGGGGAGACTAGACTGAGCTCCTAAATCCTGGCTGTTACAATCATCTGAGGAGTGAGATAGTAAGTCAAAGATATCTCTCTCTCTGCTGTGCCCTCTCTCTCTGACACCTTGCCTTTCAAATGGATAGAAAGGAAGAAAGAGAGAGAGAAGAAAAGAGAGAAGGAGAGGGGGACAGCGTGAGAAAGGATGAAAGAAAGGGAAGAATTGAGGAAGGGAAACACAAGGGAGAAAGAAAAAAAACCAGCAAGAGCCTTTGCTGTTTATCTGGTATATTCTAGCTCCAAACTTTGTTCTAACAACCATTAAGACTATAGCCATGCTTCCACATTAGTACAAGTGGCTCTTTAACATTCCTCTGGCATTTTACAATTTTACAGGTCTTGAAGAGACTTCAGTAGGCATGTTTCATAGATTCAGTACACTCAGAAGGAGCCTAATAAAATACTATCCTCCAGAAGACACAAAATCATTCAGATAAGCCAGTTAAACGGCTTATGATGACCAACTGTATCCTTCAGTATACACCAATCTAAGACACACATTCCTTCTTAATTTCATATTGCCCCCATCCCTCAAAAGATACACCACACCTGAGCAATAACTTTTTACTTTAATTAAGCTAAAATATTTATTTATTTATTTATTTATTTATTTAAATGTAACTTACTGCTATATGTAGCCATTACAACTTCAAGGGCACATGCCAATAAAGACATATGAAAGATGTTGTCATTCAGGAGTTTGCTAATGAAAAAAAGAAAATGTCATTTAAAAATCTTTCTTTTATAGAAATTGTACAATGTTACATTAAGACTAAAAAATTTACCTAAAGTTTTGAATGGACAATCGTTCCTCTTCCTAAAAGAGAAAATGTAAATAATACTTTAACTGAAACTTTCTTTGTGCCAACACTGAATTTTTTTTTCAAATACAATATTTTTAACTTACTGATTTAAGCATGGATTCCATTACTCGGTAATACAGTCGGACTCCAAGTTTGTATCGCTATGAACAGAGAAAAAAAGAAAAAAAATGAGATCCTTCAACTTTACAAAACTTATAAGTTTTAAGTCTTTTTTAAAAAAACATTTTTCTGATCTTTCTTAGGAATAAGACTACCATGATATCATTCAGATAAGTTATCTAAACTTAAGAAAGACTATGGTATAAAGTGATGGCTAACATTTCCAGCAAACTGGGTTTTCTTTTTAAGATTTATTTTATTTTTATTGGAAAGTCAGATATTCAGAGAAGAGGAGAGACAGAGAGGAAAATCTTCCATCTGATGATTCACTCCCCAAGTGAGTGTAATGGCCAGTGCTATGCCGATCCGAAGCCAGGAGCCAGGAACTTCTTCCAGATCTCCCACACGCATGGGTGCAGAGTCTCAAGGCTTTGGGCTGTCCTCGACTGCTTTCCCAGGCCACAAGCAGGGAGCTGGATGGGAAGTGGAGCTGCCAGGATTAGAACTGGCAGCCATATGGGATCATGGCGCGTTCAAGGCAAGGACTTTGGCTGCTAGGCCATGCCGCCGGGCTCTCCAGTAAACTATTAAGAGAGTAGGTCTACTACCTGATTTTCCTTCATTTCATGTCATTTATACCACTGATAACAGAAGTTACAGTGCCTGGTATCACCAGAAGCACTTTGTATCATGCTTAAGTATACTTTAAAATTTGTAGGTAATTGGGATTAAAAGCTACTTATTTGGGTCCACCCCTCTCCTCATATTTTGAAATCCATGCAAAGTTTTTCATATTATACACCTTCCTGAGCTTTCTGAAGACCCTCCTCATATGATACTTCTTGAAATCCCTAACACATATTTATTAAGGCGGTTATCTGGGTTCAAAAAGCAGATTCTGTCTATAAAGCTTAGTAACACTGGAATAGGCAAAAATCAGATCTAACTGACTTTATCAGTAAGAAGTTTTAACCAAATAATGCAGTGTTTGGGGCTCAGCATGGTAGCCTAGTGGCTAAAGTCCTCGCCTCGCACAAGCAGGGATTCAATATGGGCACTGGTTCTAATCCCTGCTACCCTGCTTCCCATCCAGTTCCCTACTTGTGCCTGGCAAAGCAGTCGAAGATGGCCCAAAGCCTTGAGACCCCAGACCCACGTGGGAGACCTGGAAGAGGCTCCAGCCTCCTGGCTTCGGATTGGCTCGGCTGCAGCCATTGTGGCCACTTGGGGAGTGAACCATTGGACAAAAGATTTTCCTCTCTGTCTCTCCTCCTCTCTGTATATCTGACTTTCCAATAAAAATAAAATTAAAAAATCTAATAATAACAATAATAATAATGCATTAATCGAAAGAACCACCAAATTCTAGATTTGCATACAAACATATACACATGATATTATTTCACTCCAAATTAAGAGGAAAAAACCAAAAGAACTTATAAGTAGTTAACCAAAACACTGAAGGATGCAAAATGTAACTAGAATAACTGTGTATAGTGAATTATATTATAGAGTGAATTTTAAATTTATTTTTACAAATTACATTTATTAATGCTTCACAACAAAATAGAACAAATTCAGAACCTGAATCTCAGAGAACTTAAATGATGTGTTCATAAATCGTAGAAGCAGATACAAACCTAGGGTGTACAACTCCATATTCCATACATTTGCATACAATGCATTGAATTAAGATTTTCTAGAATAATGAAGTCTCAAATAAATGGCTAGTACCATATATTCCCATTCATACTGGTGTACACATATATGAACATTCCTACATACACACCCCTTTAGTAATATCAAAAATCTTAAAATATTTTTCTTATTTGTATTTTCTAAAACCCTTATTAGTTGGCATTTGTGTTTACGGCTTTTTTGCAATGCAATGCAAGTTGGTTTCCCAGTTTCTCACAAATAGCTGCCTAAACAGGCAGTTGGGATATAGCCATCTGCCAATATTTTATCTATTGAACACATACTACTACAATCATTTATACAATCTGGAGAGATAGTACCTTTAAAATTCTATATATATATATATAGGGCACACATAAAAACAAGCTCAAATTACCTGTGATCCAATATCAACACATCCCTGTCCCACAGCTTTAGCAAATTTTTCCTTAAAGATGATTCCAACATCCTTTACTCTTTTCAGAATATTTTCTTTTGGATTCACTGTGCAGTTCTTAAAGAGATATAAACCAAAATCAGCACTAAGGATACTGTTTAATTGGAATAAATATTTTGTACCATAACACATAACTTTTGAACTAATAATTTACAAAAAAAGTGGAAACACTTCCAAAATAGATAAGAATAAAACAACCACAAAAAAAGACAGACAGACGGGAAGGGAAGGGAAGGGAAGGGAAGGGAAGGGAAGGGAAGGGAAGGGAAGGGAAGGGAAGGGAAGGGAAGGGAAGGGAAGGGAAGGGAAGGGAAGGGAAGGGGGAAGGAAGAAATATGCAAGCAAACAAGCAAGCAAGCAGACAAAGAAAACCAACCGCAGGGGCCAGTGCAGTGGTAATCTTCCTCCTGCCGCACCAGCATCCCATATGGGCACTTGTTCAAACCTGGCTGCTCCACTTCCAATCCAGTTTCTTGCTAAAATCCCAAACGGGTTGCAGGGATCACAAGCACCTAGGCCATCTTCTGATGCTTTCCCAAATGCATCAGCAGGAAACCACATGAGAAGTGGAGCAACTGGGACTCAAATAAGCATTCCAATACAGGATGCCAGTGTGATAGACAGCTTAGCCTGTTGCACCGTAATGCAAGCCACTCCAGGGAATTTTTAAAGCAGAAGGAAAGTACTATGCTCAAGTAAAGAAATTCAAAACAAAAAGATCTACATATCCTATTTGTTGGAAGTATTCAAAACAATATTTGAGAAGAAATAAATTTACCATTCTCTCAATTCCTACCTTTTAACTCCCTTGCTAAAATTCCAGGTAACTGGGTAGATACACATGTTAATGACAACTCATAAATAAATGCTATATTATCCAAGTTGGACAAATAACATCAGCTCTAAGCTAACAGTTACGATTATCTTGACAAGTATCACTTTACTAATTCCTGGGAGAAACAGCAAAAGATGACAACACAGTATAACAAAATCACAAGAAGTTACGGTAATAAATAAGCCATAAACTACAGAAAAGTACATAATTATTGCAACAGACCAAATTTTAGTAAGTTTCCTGATATTATCCTATTTCCATGGATGAGAATTTCAACAAATACTAACCAGCAACTAAATTTAAACAAGCCAGTGAGGGGAACAAGCAAGCAAGCAAGCAATACAAAAAGCTAATTTTCATTCTCTCTTCCTTTTTTCAGAGTAGGGAGGGGAGCAGGGGCTTTTGCATGTCAAACTCAAAGTCCGTTGGGAAGTTGCAAACTGCATTGTATACAGAATGAGGCAAGAACCATATATGAAAATGGGTCAAATGAACAATGAGACTGTAGGGTTATAGTGAATATAAGTCCTGTGTAACACCACATTCAACGATAATAGAAGTAGGTACTAAAGACAGGTGAACCATAAAGAATCATCAATTAGAGGGAGGTATTTGGAGCAGCAGATGAGTCATTACTTGGGATGTCTGCCTTCCACATTGCATGCCTAGCTGAAGCCCCAGTTCCTCTGCTTCTGATCCAGTCTTCTGCTAACATACTCCCTGGGATAGTAGAGGAGCAGTAGACATCCTCAAGTATTTGGGTTTCTACCATTTACATGAGAGACACAGAGTTCTAGCCTCTGGTTTCAGCCCTGTCCAGCCTTAGCTACTGCACAAGCTGCACACATTTAGGGGCTGAGACAGCTGATGGAAAAAAACATCAGTCTGCCGGAGTCTCCTCTTGCTTCTCTGCCTTTGAAATAAAATGAACACAAATAAATTATCTTTGGAAAAACAGAAAAACTAGAGAGACAGAAGACTTTCCAATCAACAACAATGGGATCCAAGAAAGAGTGCAGTAATATCTTCAAAATAATAAAATAATAACTTAAACTTCTGAGGGTAAGTAAATATCAACCCAGAGTTAAAGATCCAATTACCTCACAAAAGTTGATGAAAAAAGCTATTTTCAGACAACAAAGCCACATCTTGTAAATTCATCTCGAACTAACCTCACTTCAGGAATTACTAAAGCACTTGACATCATAGCTAAGATACCTGAATCCCATAATGAAATACCCAGGTTTTATTTCCAGTTCCAGCTCTTGACTCCGGCTTCCCACCAATGCATATCCTTGGAGACTAAAAGTCACAGCCCAAGTAGTAAATTCTTATCACCCCGGTGGGAGACATGGATTGAGTTTCTGGCTTCCAGCTCCCAGCTTTCCCTAGTCCTACCCCAAACACTGTAAGCATTTAGTGAGTAAACCAGAAATAATGTGAGCTCTTTCTGTCTCTGGTTTTCTGTCTCCCTGTCTGGGAAATAAGTAAGACAAAGCAAATTATAAAAAGTGACATTTATAGAAGAAAGAAAATCACTTCAGAAGTGAGGTACAGACTGCAAGAAAGAATAGTGAGCAAGGCAAATGATAACAGCAACATCTTCTATGTTAAAACAATACTACCAATAAAAATCTAAATTTGAGGGTAAAAAGCAAGAAATAAGATCATGGATAACTACGCACTGGATGGGAACTAAGTAACTGAAAAAAAAATAGTTCTCAATTTCTAAGTTAAAAATTCTTCAAACATTAACAGAAAATGGTATATATTTGGCTTACATTAAAATAGGAAATCAGATTTTCTGATGGTTGATCACTTGCTGAATTTAAAATCATCACTAACTGTTGAATGGTATTCATAACAGTCCTAGAAGAAAAAGTAAAGAAGAGTTAAACAATGACAGGAAATAAATAAGAAATGAAGTACACCTATTTTCTAAGTTAGATGTATCTTTAAACATATTGCCTCCTCTTTATCTTTTAAAAGTTCTCTGAAATTAGACTTCAACAGGGCAGGAGTGGAGTGGAGCTACGGCACTGACATCTCATGGGAGCACCTGGTTCAAGTCCTGGCTATTCCACTTCCAACCCAGCTCCACACTAATGTGCCTGGGAGAACAACAGAAGATAAGCCAAGTTCTTCAGCCCCTGGCCCCCATGTGCAAGACCCACAGGAAGTTCCTGGCTACTGGCTTCAATCTGGCCCAGCACTGGCCATCGTGGCCATTTGAGGAGTAAACTATGGATGGAAAATCTTTCTTCTTGTCTCTCCCTGTCTCTGTAACCTATAACCCTGCCTTTCAAATCAATAAAATAAATTTAAAAAAAATTTTTTAAGTTATTGTGTACGGTTGCTTACAAGGAATTTTACTTTATTTAACTCTTGAAGAAAAGATGTGCTAACGATCAGTTTATAATTACAGAACCGATATTCTTCTGTCAATAAAACTGTAATTACAATTCAATAAAGCATTAATGTGTCAAATCAATGACTATTTGGGGAGAAAAGACAATGGCATTATATATAACTTCATATTAAACAGAGAAATAAACTACATGAAATGGAATTGTTTCCAAAAAACCCAGTACTAAGCACACTTTCAAATAAAAACAGAGATACTTAATAGCTCAAGCCAAGAATCAAATGCTTCTCCTTTACAGAAATCTTCAAATAAGAAAGGAAACTAAGTTCCTGAATAATTTTTTTAAATTATCATTCTTAAAGTATAAAATACCCAATCAGTATCACTACCTCTTTTTTATTCTATATGTCAAGTGTGTATACGTGTGTGGCAGAAGTGTACCATAAGCAGTAGTGTTTCGATTTGGAGCATAAGTACATTTGAGACACTGTTTAATGATACTACGAGTTGTAGAATGTTTGGTACTGAAGGACCCTTAAGTATTAAATAAAACATGTTCAGTGTTCTCTGCTAAACCTGTGTAAGCTACAGCTATGCTTCTTCACTTTTCAAAGTATTGTGATCTGCCTTTCTTGTGCCTCTCTATGTTTACTAATGCATGTGTGCTACAATGAAGAGAACCACAAAAGAGCAGCTGTTAAAATCAAGACCTTCATCTTTCGTATCATTTGTTCTGATACCTGACTTCTCTGATACATTCAACAACTAAATATTCTTTCCTCAAACTCCTTCCCTCCTGGGGTTTTTATGACCTCATTCTGTGGGCTCTCCCAACCATACCTTCTCATTCTTTAAAAATCTAACATACACTTATGCCATTACAATTCTTGAGGGTTCCACTCTCAACCACCATTCTGCCCATTAAAAACCTCTGCTTCAGGCAATCTCACCTACTTTTATGGTTTAATATCCCCCCTGATAATCTCAACTTTATAAGAGTACCAAATTCTATCACTTACCAGTTAATCTTCTTCATAAGTGCACTAAAGCATGATATTCTAAATGTGAAATCATCAAATTTTTACCAACCTTCCTTCCCACCACCACTCCATTCATTCAAATCTTCAACATCTCTGAACTCACCTACCACAACAGACCAGCTCAGAGACTGTCACTCACTGTATCTGTGGTAGTAAGGCCTAGTCATGTGTACTTTGAAAAAGGATCCCTCAGGTTGTCCTAATTTGGACCTCTGGTTAAGAATCACTGAGATGAATCACTGAGATACACTGACAAATCTATTTGCCCACCTGTCTTCTCCTCGGTCCATCCATTTACAAACTATTACCATGCATATACTTGCAAATCCAAGTCTGATTTTAACTGTTACTTCTGCGTAACACCTATTTATAGCACAGGCTATATCATGTACAAACAAAAGTGCAAAACTATGATTATACCATAGAAGACATTTCTTGTCTAGCACCCATACCTCCCTGCCTTCATCCTCTTATTTTACAGTCAAAACGGAGTTGCTGACAGTGCACCGTGCTGTTTGATACTTTCACTACTTTTCACATGCTGTTTGCACATCTTAAACTGCCTTTCCTATGAAGCAGATCTTAACATGCTTCAAAATTCAGTTCACATGGCTTCATGAACTGTCTTCTTATTAACTTGTCCATTACTATTGTATATTAATATGAAAGTGATTCTATTCAATCATTTGAAATATATTAATGACTGTCTACTATGTGCCAATTATTAGGCTAGGATCTAATTATTAAATGGGAAAAATCATAGTCCCAATAGTATGGAGTTTAAAAGACATTGTGTGCCATGGTGAAAAACAAATACAAAGACAAATTATATACATTATGGAAGAAATAGATCATTATACTATGAGGAAGAATAATAGAACACTTCAGAGGAAAACATATTCTTTAAAAAGTAATATTTTGCTGAAGCATAAGGAAGAATAGCAGTTGGCAATACAAGGGAAGAAGAGAAAGAAGAGTTTCAAAAAGACAGAATATCCAGTGAATTGCTTCTCAAGTATAAAAGAAATTGCAGAATTTAAGAAAATGGAAGAAGCTCAAGTATGGATAAAGCAGACTGAGCAAGAAAACATGTTCCCAGGCTTTGCTGCAGAATTAGCTAGATGGTGCTAGGAATGGGGACAAGTCCTGTCAGGCTAGCCCACAGAACCACTTGGAAACTGTAAGATCCAGAGCTGGGGATGGGCCTCCTAGGGAAATTCTGGGCATTCCTCTGACGTGCTGCAGCTTTCACTGGTGAGCATGAGAACCAGGGCTGAAGACAAGCCTGGCGGGACAGGCAGTGGTATCTGTAGGCATGAGTGGGATGGATAGTGGGTTTGGTCAGTCTGAGCTAAGCTCCAACACCCATTGATGTGTACAAGAGCTGAATGGGATGCAGGAGACTGGACTAGTCTGCTACACACATCGGCATGCACAGGAACTAGGCCTGTGGGTAGAACTGGTGAAGGTTACCAGGAATCATTCCAACCAGGCTGCAGTTTCCATTTGTGTGTGAGGGCAAGTGTATGGTAGGCAGGGATGGGCTGGGCCACAGCATCCATTGGTTTGTGCATGAGACGGGGCTGGACACAGAACTGACCATGTGACTATGGCCACCAGCATACGTACAGGCTGAGCTGGGTGATGGACTGAGCCAGACGCCACACCGGCTAACACACACAGGAGTCAGGCCTAGGGTCACCTCTGGTGAAGTTTCTTTGGGAACTCCCCAACTAGACCACTGGACTCAAAACTCCAACCATGGAGTTGGAAAATCACATGGAGTGCATATGTCAGAACTGGACCTCCTTGGCTGTTGAAGCCTGTAAAGCAAATAGCATGCCCAGATGCACATGGGGGACATGACAACCAGTTCATTGAAGCCTGCAGGGGACATCTAGTACCATGGATGGAAGAACAAAGCAGGTAACTCTCTCAACCAACTTCTGACAGCAAGGAGTTGGGTAAGTGGAGACACTAAGGTGGACCATGTCAGCCAATGGATCTTGGAAGGATTTCCTCTACAATGGAATAACAAAATCAACACTATCTCCAAACGATCAAAATCATTTATGCAGAACCCTCAGAGCATGCTCCACATCAAGGACCCTGGAATGACAACAGGTGGCTGTCCTCCAACCCCAGGTACTAATGTGGTTGGGATGCTGTGAGCGGCTTCTCCTCTTCTCTCTCCCCTTCTCCCAGACATAGGAAGTAAAAAGGAGATTGGAAAGAGTTATTGCATCCACTTTCCCCTATTCCTTAACCCTTCCTACCCTAATAAGTGGTCTACATGGACATGCATCCTTCTTAACTATGTAAACATCATACAAAATAAAATAAACTTGTTATTAAAAGAAAGAAAGAAAACAGATGACCCCAGAGAGGCACAGAAGCCAGATCATACAAGGTCTTTCAGGCACTGTTAAGCAATACAGAATAGTAGTTGGACTTCTGAAATATCTTGGAGGTAGATTTAACAAGACTTGACAACAGATTTAGATATCAGAAGTGAGCGAGAAAAAGGACAGACAATACAGTTTGAATTCTGCAGGGTAATGTGTAGATTACATGTGATACGTATTTTTTCTTTTTTGTTTACTGAGAAAGAACACATTCCCATTTTAGGTTGTATGAACAGCAGCAGATAAAACTAGGTAATAATCATATTTGCCAAACTAGTAAATTACATGGCAGACAAACCACATTCAATATGTATTTGTTGTATATATGTACAAATATGTAAAGAAATAAATGAACAAATATGGAATGCTATCAGTAAATAATCACAATGAAAACAAATGGGAAAGTTCATACCTCACTGGAGTTGGTGGAGCAATCATATTTATATCTTCATCATGATGATTTTTTCTTGGTGTTCTCTGCATTTCAAAACTAAATAATAATAAACAAAGTCCTTCTTGCTGAAAATGTATTATTATTTGTTCTTAATAACTATAAACTATAACATAATACTTTCACTTCTTATCATACAAAGTGATAAATTATATAATAAAAGTGATAGGAAATACATGATCCAACCACTTCTTACATACGTACATAAGTGTAGGCTTTTCATGATATTGAGGTATACCATTAATTATTCTTGGAAGGGAAAGCTAAATGGTTTCTTCCTAATAGTATTAATAACTAAGTTGTTCAGAATTTAAAAAAAAATCAAAGCTCAAATAAATAAATAAATCTTCAAGAAAATCAAAGCTCAGATACCTTAACGCAGTAGAAGAGGCTGGTGTCGTGGCACAGCAAGTTAAGCTGCAGCCTGCAGTAGTAGCATCCCACAGGAGAACCAGTTTGAGTCTTTGCTGCTACACTGCCTATTTATCACCCTGCTAGTAAAGCTGGGAAAGCAGTGGATGGTTCATAGTACCTGGGTTCTTTCCATCCACATGAGAGACCAGGATATACCTCTTGGCTCTGGGCTTCAACCTGGCCCAGTCCCAGCCACATGGGAGTAGACCTGTGGGGAGTGAACCATCAAATGGAAGATCTGTCTGTCTCTCTCTCTCTACATATATATACAACTCTGCCTTTCAAAATATAAAATAAATGTTTTTAAAAAACCAAAACTCATAATTTTTAATGCAGTATACGTCCTAAAACTTTATTTCCAATTAAATCAAATTTAAAACACTTAATTATGTTTAATTTCTAAATTACATGTATTTTTAAGTTTCACATTAGAACATTTAATGCTGAAATCTTCCAGATGATCAGGTTAAACTTTTTATAATTATTTTCAACAATTTCCATGTTTGGATTCTACATGCAAATTCAAGCCAATATACTGGGCGGGGGTGGGGGAGGGGCCGTGCTGTGGAGTACTTGGTTAAGCTGCTGCTTGGGAGCCTGCATCCCACAAGGAAATGCTGGTCCCAGCGTTGGCTGCCTTGTTTATGACACAGTTTCCTATCAATGGGCATGGGAAGGCAGCAGATTATGGCCACTCACTTTGAAGATCTACATGGAATTCCTGGCTGCTAGCTACTGCAGCCATTTGGGAAGCCAACAAACAGATGGAAGATCCTGTTTCCTCTTTCTATCTCTTGCAAGGTAAGCAAACATCTTGTTAAGGTAGAGAATATATTTTGATACTAAAAACAAAAAATGGGGCCTGGTGCGATGGCATCGTGGTTAAGGTCCTCGCCTTGAACACACCAGGATCCCATATGTGCACTGGTTCTAATCCCAGTGGCCCCACTTCCCATCCAGCTCCCTGCTTGTGGCCTGGGAGGCAGTCGAGGATGGCCCAAAGCCTTGGGACCCTGCACCTGCGTGGGAGACCCGTGTGGGGAGCCATGCAGATCCACGCATCCTTTGCAAGCTCTCAGTCAGCTGGAGCTGGTCTCCGGCAGACCTGGGAGAGCTCCTGGCTTCAGATTTGCTCAGTTCCAACCGTTGCGGCCACTTGGGGAATGAACCATCGGACAGAAGACCTTCCTCTCTGTCTCTCCTCCTCTGTATATCTGCCTTTCCAATAAAAATAAATAAATCTTAAAAAACAAAAAATTTAACCAGGGGCCCAATAATATGGCTCAGTGGCTAAATCCTTGCCTTCATGCACCGGGATCCCATATGGGCATAAGTTTGTGTCCTGACTGCTCCACTTCTCCTCCTGCTCCCTGCTTACTGCCTGGGGAAGCAGTGGAGGGTGGCCTAAAGCCTTGGGCCAATGCATCTACAGGGGAGACCAGCAAGAAGCTCCTGGCTTCCGGCTTTGGATTGGCTCAGCTCCTGTCATTGTGGCCATTTGGGAAGTGCACTAGCAGATGGAAGATCATCTCCATCTCAACATATCTCTATAAATTTGCCTTTCAAATAAAAACTAAAATCTTAAAAAAAAATTATTCAGCTAAGTTAAAAAAGATACTGGTTATGAAACATTACTCATATTAAATCTCTATTAATAAATTATATGCTCAGAATACCATTATCTTTTTCTTTATTTAAAGACATTTGACAGTAACTTATTATTATCAACTGCATAAAAAGTCAGTACGTTATATCAAATCTATATATCATTGTTGATCTATATAAAAATGCATCAGTAAATGATGATATATTATGTGCAATACCTGTCTATAGAATCAGTCTGGAGAGTTTTATCATGATCCAAAAATAATCTTGCATCTAGATCTTTGTTTTTAAGATACATTTCTTCATATCGTTTAGAGAGACTTTCAACCTCAAAAGGAAAAAAGAATATGATCATCTTTTTCATGTTACATCTCTTACCATACTAGAACATAAATTCAATTGGAAAATTTTTATATAATAAATATTTATTATGCAATAAATATTCACATGCAACATATAGGCCTATCTAAAAGTGTAGTAAACAAAGCTGTAAGGTTTTTTTCAACTACAAATTTAAGTATATTTCATTCATGCACCCTAACTGTTAGCATTTTACACCTACAAGGATCACCAATGCCACAAATCAGAACTAAAGATAAAAGTAGGTATTATCATAACCAATTAACTAAGATTCTCCAAACATTTCATATATACTTCACTTTCAATCTTCTAATCAGCTTATTAATATAGAATAGCTTTTCCCAAAAACTATATTAAAGCCTCTTGATTATATATTCTGACAATCTTTTCTCAACCTTTTATTCACTCCAGCTTCCTTCATTCCTAAGTTAAGAATCTTAGGCAAAAGAATTAATTCAATAAATTAATCCAATTAGCACATTTGCATGATCTATTTCCAATCTTAGATATTTTTAAATTGTAAAAATGCATACATCTTTTGCTCTAACATTTTATAATTACACTTTAAAAAGAAAATACTCGAGTAGCAAGTTTTCTGCTGTGACTTTTATAAATCCAAGATGTTTCCAAGAAACACTGAGATAACCAAAACTGCATTCTATAAGGAGTAAAAAGAAACTCAATTAAATGTACATTTTTTGTTTGTCTGCATAAGTGTACTAAGTAGAAAAGTCACTCATGCTTAAAGTTTGAGCAATGCTCCTATGTTATCTTAAACATTAATTATCAATTATTGGTGTCAGTGTTGCAGCACTGCCAGCTATGCCACAGCCTGAAATATCAACATCTCATAAGAATACCAATTCAAATCCCCACTGCTCCACTTCTGATCTGGTTCCCTACTAATGTGATTAGAAAAGCCAAGTGTCTAAGAGTGCTGAGAGCTGTGAAGAGTATTTTTCCTTAATCAAATGCAAGAAAACATTAATATTCAGTCACTTCTTGCCTCTCCAATACCACATCTGATAGCTCTGTTACGGCTTGTACCCCAACCTTCATGAGCTGCTTGGGATTTACTAATCAGACAATACCATCTGAATCAGCGTGCTTCGACTGCATAGCACCCATACCCTGGGCTTGGCATTCCTAAGGCTAACTCAGCTTAAAAATCGCATCATTTCCAAACAATTTTCCACAAAACTCATCTGCTCCTGTTTGGATTCGGCAGCTCCTCTCCTGGACATCACTGAAGCTGGTGTGTGCATCCTCACGCTTCAGACTCTTGGGGATTTCTGTAGTTTCACATTAGCATTTTATGGCCAGTGACAGAGATGAAGTCTCTAACTGTGGTATTAACATAATCCCTGGCACACAATAATAAATACTGAATTATCAAGCTAAATCATGATCTAGCTTACCTAGTTTAGGTAACAGAATCAGCAATCTTATCTTACACTTTTTGGTCTGTGTTACTAACAAGGCATTGTGTTGTCACTGAGTGATAAAGCATGCTTCTCAAAGCATGCTTTCCTTTACTGAGTCTACAATACCACCAAAATTCTCAATTGTTGTACTCTCATCAAAAAGACAGTTGTGGCAACATTTGAAAAGTAACGGGTAGATGGAGAGTGCACCATTAAGGTTTAAAAAAAATCTGCAGCATAATCAAAGACATTCCACCAAATTTATTTCAATTGCATGTTTTTTTTAAAATACTCCAAAAAAATTACCTCTGGAAGTTCATTAGAAGCTATAATTCCAAGAGAATTCATAAACGGAATAAAATTTTTGAAATAAACATTTTTGACCTGAAAGAGATTAAAAAAAGCCAGAAGCTATTAAAACTTAAAACCAAAAAACTGGGACTGGCGCAATAAAGCTTGGCTTGCTATTCCTCCACTCCAAGCATTGGCATCCCATATGGGCACCAGTTAGTGTCTCAACTACTCCACTTCCCATCCAGTTCCCTGTTTATGAACTTGGAAAGCAACAGAGGAAGACCCAAAGTGTTAGAATCGTGCACCCATGTGGGAGACCAGAAAGAAGCTCCTGGCTTCAGATTGGCCCAGCTTTGGCTGTTGTACCATTTGGGGCATGAACCAGCAGATGGAAGATCTTCCTCTCTGTCCCTCCTTGTTTCTGTAAATCTGTCTTTCCAAAAAAAGTAAAATAAATCCTTATAAAAAAGATTTATTCCTGTATTTCAAATAAAATTTCACAAGTAGTTCTTAAAGTCAGATTTATAAACCAGACACTTAGAAAACTGCTATTTACTACTATCTATTATCTTGTGCTTCAGGGACAAAATTGGAGTAAAATGAAACATTTTAACTTCATTCATTAGCTTACTTGCAAAGATGAATTATGATTCTATCAAACTGAAAGTAAATATATACAGATGACACAAATATATATGCATACATACATAAGCCCAGATATTCTTTTAATACCTCTTCAACCAGATTTTTGAGACTCCTCCCATTCCTTCCCACAGCTGACAGAGGAAGTTCAAAGATACAATACTTTCTACTTGTATTTGTTCATAATAAATTACAGACAACATAACATACTGTGAGAAAACAGCAGAGTGACACAAGCACTAGTACTGGATGTTCCAATGTCCAGTGTAGACCCTATCCGTAACAAATCTCTGGAGAGTCATTTACTCATTATTAAAAGGTGGTACAACATATTATTGGCAATATTTTCTTCAATCTAACATTCCAAATTTATAAAAGAGATAATTCCTAGGTGTTCAAGGGCATTCTCCATAGTCACTAACATCTTGTATAATATTTAGAAAGAGAGCAATTATGAATAGTTAAACTGAAATTTAATGTTGGTATCCCTTACCACTAAACCAAAACACTAGGACTTCCTTAGTAGGCTAATTAAAAGCATTAGGGGTATCAGTAACTTCAGAGAAACTAACGAACAAACATATTTTAAAGTTACTGTCTTGATATATGCAGTGCAAGGGAAATACTCTCTTTAAAATCAAAGCGTGTGAGAGGGTGGGTAGTTAAGCCACTGCTTGGAATCCCTATGTTCCATATCGGAATGCAAGTTTACGTTCCAAGCATTCCACTTCCAATTTGGCTTCCTGCTAATGCCTCTGGAAACCAACAAAATCTGGGTCAAGTACTTAAGTCCCTGTGACCCTATGTGGGAGACTTGATGCAGATGTTGCCTCCTGTCTTCAGCCTGGCCCAGTCCTGGCTGCCGCAGCCATCTGGGAAGTAAACCAGCAGACAGAGTCTCTCAATCTCGGTCTGCTTTCAGATAAACAATTTTTTAAATAAAAATCCAGGTAACTTTTTCTAACTTTTGTTTTTACTGTAAAACTGGCACAATGGATGCTATTCACAAGAGGTAGCTACTATTAAGAACTATCACCGAAATCTACTTGAAATGTTTTACAGAAATCATGAATCACCTCGTCTATATTACAATCATGTTCTTTACAGAGCATGTCAATAATTCTTGAATCTTGTTCTTGTTGCTTGGCTGTCCGGGCACTTCTGTTCTGACCTCTCCTGGGTGTTCGAGGTGAGCCATTAATAGGTATTACAGCTGTTTCTGTTACAAAAAAAAAAAATAATAAGCAAGAACATTTCCATTTTCTACGTACAAACTATGAAGCATTCTAGTTACAACTTGGATACTTAGGAACAATATTTGTAACATACTACTTTTACATATTAGGCTTCATTAGAAGAAGAAAAATTTCTTTTTTCTTTCTTTTGGTTTTGTGAAAGAACTGAAGCTAGTTTTTGCCATCTTTATTTTTTCCTGCTGACAAATACCCCACAAAGAACTGTAAAATACTTCGTCTTCCCAAATAAACACAAACAGAAAACTGCAAAATGGCCTGTAAGTCTACAAGAAAAACGCTTTCTGGAGCAGGTACTGTAGCCACTAGGTGAAGAAGCTGCTTAGCAAGCACACATGCCACATGAGAGCTTGGCTGGAGCATCAGCAACTCACTGCTTCCCAGCATGCTTGGGAGGCAGCAGATGAAAATCCAAGTCTCCGGCTTCCTGTTGCCCGTGTGGGAGATTTCACGCAGTTCCTGGCTCCTAATTTAAGCCTGGTGTAGCTTCCGCTGCTGCAGGGACTTTAGGAGTGAATCAGACAGCTGAAACGTTCTCTGTCCCTCTGCCTCTCAAATAATTTTTTTAAACAATGTTTTCCATCTTAAGAGTCTTTAAACTGAGCAAATATTTATGGGTTCAATTTCCAGTATTTTTTATTGAAAAAAAAAAAACACAGAGCACATTGCTATGGCTCAGTGGCTAAATCCTTGCATTGTAAACACTGGGATCCATTTGAGCGCCAGTTCATGTCCAAGCTGCTCCGCCTCCCTTCCGGCTTCCTGCTTGTGGCCTGGGAAAACAGCAAAGAATGACCTACAGCCTTAGGAGCCTGTACCAATGGGGGAGACCCAAAAGAAGCTCCTGGCTTCAAATTGGCTTAGCTTCTGATGCTGCAGGCATCTTGGTGAGTGAATCAGAAGATGAAACACCTTTGTCTCTATCTCTCCTCTCTGTAATTGTGCCTTTCCAGTAAAAATAAACAAATCTTAAAAAACAAACAAACAAAAAATCTTCTATCTGCTGGTTTACTCCTCAAGTTTCCACAATGGCTAGAGATGAGCCAATCTGAAGCCAGGAGCTTTTTCTGAGTTTCCCACGTGGGTGCAGGGTCCCAAGGCTTTGGGCCATCCTCTGCTGCTTTCCCAGGCTACAGGCAGGGAGCTGAAAGGGAAGTTGAGCATCTGGGACATGAGCCAGCACCCATATGGGATCCTGGCAGATGCAAAGTGAGAATTTCAGCCACTAGACTACCACACCAGACCCCTCTCAGTTTCCTCTAAGTTATTCATTCCATTTAGGGCAATAAATACTTTTTACACTGAGTCATCTTTAACCTCTTTTACAGCTGACTCTGTCTTCTGTTTGAATTTGGAATGGCCAGATAATTCACGGGTTTTTTTCTTTAAAGATGTATTTATTTATCTGAAAGAGTTAGAGACAAAGAGAGAGAAACAGGGAGGGAGGGAGAGAAACAATCATCTGCTGATTTACTCCCTAAGGGGGCACAATGACTGGAGCTACGCTGGTCTGAAGCCAGGAGCCAGGAGCTTTTCAGGCTTCTACATGGGTGCCAGCACACAAACTCCTGGGCCGTCTTTTGCTGCTTTCCAAGCTGTAGTAGCAGGGAGCTGGATAGGAAGTGGAATAGCCAGCACCCAAACTAATATCCATATGGAATCCTGGAACCACAGGGATGCTCAACTTATTATGTCACAGCACTGGCCCTTATACCTGTTTTTTATTTTGCTCATTTATTTATAAATGTTTCTTCATTTATTTGAAAGACAGTCTCACAGAGAAAGAGGGAAAAGCTATCATGTTGGGCCTGGAATGGAAGATCTTTCAGTCTCTCCTTCTCACCATAAATCTGCCTTTCCAACAAAAATAAATAAATCTCTTTTTAAAAGAAAGGAGGGAAAAAGAAAGAGGCTTACTTTAAAAAAACAAAGAAGAAGAAACTGAGAGGATAAAGCAACATGCCAAATTACATCACATGATACAAGCAGCAAAAACCAGACTGTGGAAAATTTAGGACAACCACCTGATTATTTAGTAAACAAATTGTAAGTGGGAGAAAAAAAAAAACAAGAGATGGAAGAAGCATTTCTATCAGCCTATGATACAATTTGAAGTTTTAATAGTTGATAATCTGTCAACCTGGAAATACATTTTAAAATTACAAAGACACACTAATTGAATAGCTGTACACTTAACAGATATTTGGCGGTACTAAGGAATGATTATGACTTGATTTTACATGTGGTAATGGTATTGTCATTACACTTTTTAAAAACTCTTTACTTCATAGAGATATGTACTAAAACAGAAAAAGATGAAATGCATGCAAAGGTGTTGCTCAAACTAACATAGCAGGGGGAACTGGGCAGGAGACATGTGGCTATATACTGACCATGGAACATGTTGAAGCTTAGTGAAAAGCACATGGAAGTTTGTTATGTTACTACTCATTTTAATACTTATTTGAAATTCTCCAACAAAATTAAAACTCAATTTAATACCTCACCTTGGTCTCTCTTTAACACAACATTTAAAGAGCTGAATTATCCAAAATAAAGTCTTGCAAGATAAAGCAAATATTACATCACCTATTAAAGTTATGAAAAACAGAGAAAGGCATATAAAGAGAAATTTTAAAGGTCAAGAAAAGTTTGAAGTATATGCCTACCTCTCTTTCTTCTGCTCTGTATGATTTCTGCCTACTATACCAAACCATTTTCAAAACTCCATGCAAAATTTCATTTTTCTATTTAGCTGTTATTCACAACAATTAACCACTTTAACACTTTGAGACTTCGAAGTTTTGATCAATTATCTATTATTTTTAGAATTATTATTAAAGTGTTAATTGTTTCAAAAGCACTTGGCCTACCTTAGCTAGCTACACATTTTTCTGTATTGCTTTGACTCTGAAGTCCTATCCTTGGGATCAACAAAGGATGAAATTATATTCTAAGAAGAACACTGTCATTGATGCTTTATGTTACCTATGTCATTTAAATACACTTCTCATCTTTGTGTGCTCATCCACTGAAATTGTATCAATTACATTTCAAACACCAAAAAAAAATTAGACACAAAGTTAGACAATATTAATAAAAAGTTAGTTAGCTGCTCCTGTGGAATGGACCACTCTTTCCCCATGCTGTTTCCTTCATATCTTTGTCTTGGTTTTTGCTTTTTTTTTTTTTTTTAACTAGGAATGCTCTTCCTCAACTTCCTTAATAAAGATACCTCCTCCAAGCTAATTACTCTTCAACACTCATTTCAAATATTACTTGTTTCATATGGCATTCCTCAGTCTTCAGCATTTCAGAGTACTCTCTCATCTCCTGAATTCCCCATGCAGGTGCTGCATTTTGACCCACATCACCTTCTACAGAAACTCTCATTAGCTGCTTCTATGCCTTATTTTCCCTGTTAGAACTCCTATTACTTGAGGGCAGAGCCCCATTCGTTACTTTTGTAAATAGCTTTACAACCATACTAGCCCTAGATAATCAATACACACTTACTGGTTGATAAGTAAGAAAGCATAAATTATAGGAAATACTTACTATATGGCTCTTTGAGCAAAGCAGGAGGTGAAAGTTTGATAAAATAGTCAAGAACACACAACATTAACTGAAATGAGATCACCAGGTCATCTTCCATTTGCAAGACCTCTCCTGAAAATAAAAAAGGTTCACATTTTTAAGGAAAGTGAGATTAAGATGTTTTAGTTACAGGAAACTGTGGGTAAGTAATCATCCATACAATCATTCATTCAACAATTACTGGAGACATGGGGAAGCCTTGCTTTTTCTTTTTGCAGAAGATTAGAGATAGTTTGCAATTTTAAAATTATATAAAGTTAAGACTTAGTTAGAAAGTTTAAGTCTACCTTGAGAATTTTACTTTTAAGCATTATAATAACTCACTCTTAATTTCTAAAATTATTTTGCAGTTTGCTTTATTTAAACTTATTTTCTAGCTCTGTAAAACTATATAATAAAATTTGAAGTATGATGATGCTATATGCTAATTTTTAATTCTAGCTATATCTGAAACCTCATATATTTCCTATTTTAACTTTAAATATTTAAATGTTAATTATTTCTATTTAATATGAAATTATTATAATAACCAAAGCCATTAAGAAATAACCAAATTAACTATATAACAAAGCCAATTAAAATTATCAAACACAAATTTCTGAAAGTAATATATATATAAATACACAAACATGATAGATATTAAAATAAATGCATATAACAGATAACTGAGAAAAATTTATAGTTATATAAAATATAAAATTATTATATAATACAGATAATATGTATTTGCTTATATATTATTTGTGAAGAGAAGCTTAATTTGACTCTTTTTTTTTTAATCTTCTGACATCTGACTGGTAAATTAGAAATAATTTCCCAAAATACAAAATACATAGAAACTGTACTCTGGTTTCTCTTCAGATCATATAAATCTTTTGCCTTTTACAAAATACACAGAAGCTATGATAAAACATCATGCAGATTTTCTAGATCCACAGGTCTAGTGTCAAAAAAATTGTTTGCAAGGGCCCAGGGTGATATAATCTAGTAGCAAAATTTTTGCTTTGCAAGTGCTGGGATCCGGTTCATATCTTGGCTGATCCACTTTCCATCTGGCTCCCTGCTTGTGGCCTGGGACAGCAGTAGAGAATGACTCAAAGTCTTGGGACCCTGCACCCATGTGGGAGACACCAAAGAAACTCCTGGCTGCTGGCTTCGGATCAACTCAGCTCCAACCATTGAGGCCACTTGAGGAGTGAATCAGCAGATGAAAGATCATTGTCTCTCCTTCTCTCTGTATCTCTGCCTTTCCAATAATAAAAATCTACATAATAAAATATATAAATATATATGATAAATCTTTTTTTAAAAAAATGTTTTGCAAATCTACTGGGCACTTAGGATATTCATGCACAACAGCTGAGAGCCTAGGTTCAGGACTCAGTTCCTCCATCTTCCTAATCTCAGCCTTCTGCTACTGCAGACCCTGAGGTAGGCAACAGAGATGCCTTAAGTCACTGGGCTACTGGTGCCTGGTGGGAGCCCTGGATCAAGTGTCAGACTCCTGGCCTCAGCATGTGGGGAATGAATGAGCGAACAGGATTTCATTCTCTCTCCCTCCCTTCTTCTTTCTCTCCCTCTTGCTTGCTAATAAACAATAATTTTTTTCAGTTTGTAATATATTTAGAAGTTGTTAAGAAATATAAAAGTAAATCATGTTATCAAGGATATCAGATGAATGAATTTCTCTCCTAATAACTAATAAAATCATGCAAAAATGTACTGGTTAATTGCTACTATCAAAATTAAATTTGGCAGATATTAACTCAGAGTATTTCATCTTTTTCTCCTTCTGACTAGGAGGAGGGAGTAAAAACTGCTCACAGAAGGAAGGGTAAAAACACTGGTAAACTTTATTTTAAATATTTTATTTGAAAGGCACAGAAAGAGGGAGTAATCCTGCTGTCTACGTATTCATTCCCCAAGTACTCCCAACAGCCAGAGCTGGGCCCCATTGAAGCCAGCAGCTACGAACTCCATCTTCTCCACTGTGGGAGGCAGGAACCCAAGCACGTGGACATTATCTGCTGCCCACAAGGTCCATTAGCAGAAAGCCAGATTCGAAGCAGAGCTGGGACTTGACCCTAAGCACTCTTACAATCACTGCACAATGATACCTGTCACTATAGCATGCTTTTTTAAAAAAAAAACAAAGAATATAGCATACTAAGCTAAATCTGGAAACACACGAATCCCAACCAAACCCCTGGAAAAGAGAATTATAAATTTTAGCAAAAATTCAGATCAACAGAAGCTCAAATCACTTCAGATGAATTCTATATCTTCTCTCCCATCTTCAGACTAAAAGCACATGATAAATGGCTGTTCCCATGCTGTAGCTCTTTGGGCAACACTAACAAGTCACAAATTAGGAGTAAGGTGGAGTGAAGGTCATTCACCCACATCTCAGAAAACAAAATCAAGTCACGATTACCCACATAAGTCTCAGCAAAATACAGTGATTATACAAACATGTTATAGAAAAGGAAAAAACAGAATCATAACATTAGCCCACTGTAGAAGAATACCTAAAAAAAAAAAAAAAAAAACTCAGTGAGTTCTTTCTCCAAGATCTTAAAGATCTCAAATTATATACATTAAGAAAAACAAGGAGCTAAACAAGCTAAAGCAGGAAAATGTGAAGGGACAAACAACACCACGAGAAATGGTTTAGTTCAAAACATAAGTTAATATATAAAAAACAAAAGATTTGATGAGAGAAGATAATAAATTTGGAGGACAAAATCAATCCAACATAAGACAGTTAATGTTCCTTAAACAGAAGAGAATAATACAACTGAAAAGAACAGCATTTAAAAATACAATGAGATATCTCTGATACGAATAAGCTCATCCATTTTAAAAAGAATATGGTATTCTAGGAAAAACCGACACAGTGCAATGATAATCAAAAGAAGGAGAAGAGAAAACAACTCCAATTATTCAAGAACTAAATGAGATGAGGAAACTAAGGAAATATCTGTCTCAACAATGTTCAATGTCAGAACAGTATCCTAAGAAAAACAAAAGATGACACAAAAATAGAATACATAGCTAAGTTGTCTTGCAAGTATGCATCGACAGGCATGACTCACACAGGGAACACAGCCTACTTGTAAAAATTTTGTGATGATAAAATCCAGTTAGCTAGGAAAATTAAAAAAAAAGAACTCAGAAATGCATTAGCTATGATATAGGAGCTATAATAATTAAGAACTGAGAGTAAACAGATGCAGAACTGAGAGTAAACAAATATAAGAACTATAATTGCAAACAATATATAAATGTTACAATCTTTGATGGGATAATAACAATAAGATGAACTCATCTGAAAATGAATAGAGGGGAGGTGATAGGAATGTAAAAATGCTAATATTCTTCAAGACAGATTAGTACATAGTTTTAAATCAAAATATAAGGAAAATAGCTTACCCTCTTGATTTTTTTCATGTTTTTTCATAATCTCAGATATTTTAAAAATAATAAGCAGCTAAACTGGTAAAAACACAATTAAATTTAGGCAATTTTTTTTTTGTAAAATTTGAGTAAAACTAACTTTAAAAAATTTTTAATTTACACTATCATGAGAATCCATTTTTAGACAATTATGTCTTTTTGTGAAGGTATTTTTCCATCTTTATTTATTGGGCTATATATACAGGAGAAAGCATTTCTCAGTAGTTACAATGTCACCTGGGGGAGAATCAAGATGGTGGAAGACGGTGAGGACACATTTAAAGAGATGGAGAATCGTTAGCCAGGGTGAAGCAGAGAGAGCAGATTCCAGGAAACAGGAGAGGACAGACTGTCAGCAGAGGGGCACCTGGAGACTGACAGACATGCAGAAGCAGCGCTGACAACGGAGTGGTAGTGACCAGATACCCCTTGGCAGTCAGCAAGTGGTGACCCAAACTCTACCACAAGTGGGAAGATGAGTTCACCAGAAGCTGAGATGAACCCAAACAAAGAACTGCCCATCCTGCTGATTTGTCTGATTCAACCAGCAGCAGAGAAACAGCAGCAGACCCCAAGCAGGCAGAGCAGGAATAGGGTGGATTTCACAGCCTAGACCTCCACATTGGGAGCCATTTTATATAGTGAGACAAAGGCTTTGGGACTAGAAGGACAACATCAAGCTGTGTATACACTAAGCCAGGAGCAAACTCATTTCTTGGTACACTGCACTGGTATCACAGGGAAAACAGAACCGACTTTGGCATACTACAGGTCCAACCCCAAATAGGTCCAAGTGGTCCTCAGACCTAAAAGCCAGCAGGTCTGGCAAGATCAGCACCACCAATGACCCAGTTATTTAGGACACCTAGTGTCTCCCTAATCCTAGGAACCACTAGAACAGAAGAGGGAGAAAGGTTGTACAGGCTCAAAGAATATGTCTCTTCCAAACCTACCCTACAAATGATACTTAAAGATGTTCTCTTGACAGAGGAAAGGAACAGCACCCATCAAAACCAAAGGCAAATGTGAAGAACATCCCAGCAAAATAACAACATAAGACTAAATCAAACAATGAACAACCCATTGCTAAAATGACAGGACCAAAGTTACCACCTATTCATATTAACCCTAAATGTAAAAGGCTTAAACCCAATCAACGAAATAGCAGAGATTAATAGATTAGATTAAAAAATAAAACCCATCTATCTGTTGCCTACAGGAGACACATCTCATCCACAAAGTTCAGCAGAAAGTACCTCTCATGGAATTCTAATGTTTTTGTTTTTAGTTTCATTTTTTCAAAACATTTTCTCAAATTCTTCACTGACTCCTACGTCATACTGTAGCACCATTTTCTTCAAGAAGGTTCTTGATTTTCTTTTGCATTTCTTTAGTGACACATTAATCATTTAATAGCATGTTATTTACTTAATTTCATTGTAAATTTCTATTTTTCTTCCTGTTGTTGATCTTGTATTGTGGCTTTTCATTTAAGGGGATGTATAATAACTGTGGAATGGAGACTACCATATCCAGATGTGAGTATACAATTCTGTATGTATCTCTACTTCCAGATCAAAGATGGACTCCCAATAAAACTGTTAAATATATCTTGACAATAGGATGCTGGACTCTTTGCCATTGTTCATGTCCTCAATGTCAGGATACACTTAAATAGCAGAATGATGGACTCATGAGTGTTTATGAAAGACTATACTATTGTAATAACAGAGGGGAAATCATTGGTGGAAGGGGTTTAGGGAGGGAGCAGTGGAAAATCCTAGAGTCTATGGAACTGTATCATAAAATAATAAATAAAAAAAAAGTCACTTGGATAACTATATCCCATTTTGGAATGCCTAGTCCGAGTTGGGGAGTCTCAGCTCCACTTCTCATCCAACTCCCTGCTATTGCACATCCTGGGAGACAGCAGGTAATGGTTAAATTCTTGAGTCCTGTCACCCACATGGGAATCCCAGATTGAGTTCTGAGCTCCTGGTTTCAGCTTGGCCCAGACCTATTGTAGCCAGTTGTTGAATAAATCACCAGATGAAGGATCTAAACCACTCTCTCCTTCTCTTTCTCAACTTTTCAATTGAATTGAAATCAAATAAAACATTTTAAAAGAATGTCTAAATAAAACATACTTGAAATAACACTCAATTTTAAAGATGATTATTCTTGGGTGGATGTGAGGTATTTTTGGTACTTTGGTCTACTGTCTGACATATTTATTGTAAGCAAATATCATCTTTATGAAAACAACAACATCAATATTTCTTTTAAAAGATTGGAAGGGAAACAGAATGGAAATACTAGAAATAGAAATGAACCATTTCTAATACTGTTTACAGTATCAGAATCATATGACATTGCTAACAATAAGTCATGCAGAGAATGAATGGTGTGGTGAAATGTGCGCATTTTTTAAAAAAAGTTTTACATTTAGTCCAAAAGAATGTCAATTTAATTATTACATTGGACTGAAACATTAGAATGTAATCAAAAAAACAAATTTACCTTTGGCTAGTAAAAATGTGATCCAAGAAACTCTTAGCACCAACAGAGAATTTATTTCAGTAGATAACCTAATAAACAAATTGAAAGCAGAAAACAAGTTAACACTGACAAAATATTTCAGCTACCTCTTTAGGGTGATTTTTTTTTTAAGTAAAGACCTTAGTTACATGCACAAAAAAGGACAAGCTACTTTAAATGCACAATTTACACTTGAACTCAATTTATCTCAATTCACTTAGTATTCCTACCAAGACAGTAGATTTAGCCCATACAACAGTAAACATTTTATAACGAAAATACTGAATATCTCAATTATAGTCTAAAAATATAAAAATTACATGGTATACAATAATGTACTTGGTTTCAATTACTTCAATACTCCTGCTTTTTCTAATTAAAATCAAGAGTGTAAGAAGAAAGTTTCGGTGATTCTAGTTCGCCAATTACACACTCTGCTTTGATAATTTTTCCACAGATATTCATTTATGAGAATTAATAGAAGCATATCAATTAATTAATTAATTATGAGAAACACAATTTCCTCTTCTATCAATCATCACCAACACCACTACTTCAATGGGACAGCAAATCTCATGCACTACTTCTTTTGTTTGGAGCTCTATTTACATGGCATTTTGATACAGATTTTCATATTTAGTATTTATTTTTTGGAAGGGAAGTAGGACTAGCTGGTCTGCCTGGAAAAGGCTGGGGCAGCACAGTGGAAGCCCTCATGAGGACTGGGTCTACCATAACTGGCGATGTGTGTGACACCATAACTATCACAGATAAGCCATTTCCAAGCCACTAAGTCTTTAAATGAATCTGTGTTAAACTCAGTAAAGCTCCTTTCCTTTGAAGTGTGGATCTGATGGTGGCTGGGGAACTTGAGCTCAGCCTTGCCTAAGGCCTCAATCACATGTTCTTTGTTGTGCACCTTGGTGCAAACAGACAGGATGACTTGGCCAGTGTAACCCTAGCCACCAAACCCTGGGGCTTCTAAGGAACAAACGTACCTGTCTGGAGCCTAGATTAGAATAGCTCAAGACATAGGTCCAGGGGAAAGGCAACCCATACAAGAAGCACACTGTGACACTATTAAGAAGGCTATTTGCAGTCACTGTGCTGTATTTATTATTCAACAAATCATGCTGTAAGTCTTTAATAAAAGGGCCAATGAATCTGGATTTTTTCCTAAAGAGGTTGGTGATATGTTGGCACTGAATCAATTTCTATCTAATTATTCTTTTCTTATAGTACCGGGTATATATTTGAAGTCTCTTTGTGAGAAAAATATAGAACTTAAGTCAAAAACTTTAACCCAAAAAGTAGTATGCTGTAACATATCAAATAGCAGAGATTATTTCAGAAAAAATCATATTTTTAAAAGTGACAAATACTACGGTCTGAATTACTTACGAAGTACTGGGTTGTGCCAAATATATTAGTTCACATGTCCTGAAAGGAAGAAATAATTAAATCAACACTATGGATTTTTTAGGAGTTATTTTTTTCATAGTTTAGAAGCGATAATAATTTCATCACTTTGTGATTTTTAAGAAGTAACAAAAAAGCAATAAAAGATATTTAGCATTATTAAACAAAGTAGATTTTTCCAATTTGTAAAATTCAACATCACTGTAACCTTTAATTACAGAAGAATTAGATTCCACATGTACATTTACAACTTGGAATACATTTTATATTTGAAGATCTAGTTAGAATCACAGATGTAACATAAAAGCCTATTTAGGGGCAAGAATTGTGGTGCAGCGGGTAAAGCTCCTGCCTATGATGCTGGCAGCCCATTAGAGCTCTGGTTCCTGTCCTGGTTGTTTCATTGTTTTGTTTTGTTTCTCTCTCTCTCTTTTTTTTTTCTTTTGTAAAGATTTATAGTGAGGGAGATATAGTGAGGAAAGACCTTCTACCTGAGCTTTATTCCCCAAATGGTTGCAACAGCCAGAACTGAGCCAATCCAAAGCCAGGAACCAGGAGCTTCGTCTGGGTCTTCCATGAGGATGCAGAGTTCCAAGGCTTTGGGTCATTCTGCATTGCTTTCCCAGGCCATAAGCAGGGATCCAAACCAGCACCCAATCAGGATCCCAGCATTTCCAAGGTGAAGGTTTAGCCATTGAGCCATGTGCCAGATCCAGCTGTTTCACTTCTGAACCAGCTCCTTGCTAAAGTACTTTGGAAAGCAACAAAAGCTGGGCAAAGTGCTTGGGTCCTACCTCCCACATGGAAGACAAGAACAGAGTTCCCGCCTACCAGCCTCAACCTGGTCCAGTTCTGGCTCTTCCGGCCATTTGGGGAAATGAACCAATAATGAACCAGTAGTAAGAAGATCTCTGCCTTTAACTGTCTTAAAAAAAAAAAAAACCCTATATAACAATTTTATATTCAAATAGTCTACCCTGAAGAAAATAAGATTTAGTATTAATCTTCCCAATTCTCCAGAAAAAGGTACTAATAAGGACTAATAAGTTAAATTATGACATATGACTAGTCAACAAAAGTTCTAAATCCACGTATTCTTGTAAGGTTAAATCTGACTGTCACTACCAAGTTTAAAATCACTGGATGCCTTTCTATACTCTACAGGGTGAAGGTCAGGTTCCCCACTACTACCTTTCAGATTTAGCAATTTCAAAGCACATCCTTCTACCACACTGGCTTTGCAGACATGAATCACACTGCCTAGGATGTTCAGCTCCTACTAATTTTGGTTGGTAAATTCCTATGTATCCTTTCAATTATATTTAGATCAGATAATTTACTATAATTATCTTCCTAATCAAAATTATCTCTAATGCTACCCATCTCACCCTTCCATTTTCCCCTAACCTTCAATTGTTCCCACCCCGATCAACTACGTAAATTTCATCAAAAAGTAAAAACTAAAAATTAAAAAAAATTTTAAATAAATGCACACTGAGCAAAAAGAAAAAGCTAATGTTCATGTGAAGTTTACTATATTTATACCAGACAGTTGATTAATACTTTATATTACTTAATAAATTAGAAAACTTAACAAGATAGGTACTGCCATCAATTGCACTTACACATTAGAAAATGAAGCACTATAGTTAGATAACACACTTGCACCAGATCACCCAGTATATGTTACAGCTCAGACTAGAAGTCCAATCTGTCTAGCTTAAAAGCCTCTATTCTCTTCTTCGGTAAACTGCCATAGGCAACCTTTTTTGGTAGGGTGTCAGAACAGACACTGCTTTCCAGAAAATTGTGGGAACTAGAGTCATGTGTCCTACTACTAATCTGGAAATACCAGTATTTACATGACCTCCAGTAACAACAGCATAAAATAGAAGAGCCTAAACACTTCAAAATTCTCCATACAATATTGTAAAGCTTTCTTCTTTTCAAAATATGTATTTATTTGAAAGGTAGAGATACAGAAAGAGAGAAATACAAACTGGTTGGAGAAAGTTTTTGCTTACTTTATTATATCCTCCCTAGAACTATAAGTTACTAATATAAAATCTCAGTTAAAATTTTGACAAACATCTTTCCAGTCATTTCATTCTATGCAGTAGTGATCTAGGCTTTTTCCCTATTCACAGTTATATCATAGATTTTTTTAAAAATGTATTTAACATTAGAAGCATTTCATCATAGTTATTATTTCTCATAATTATAAAAATATTTATTTATTCAAAAGGCAAATCAACTGCCACACACACGGTGTTTGGGGGGACTTTTCAGCCACTGATTTACTCCCCAAATGGTCACAAAAGCCAACTCCGGGCCAGGCTAAAGCCAAGACTACACAACTCCTTCTGTGTCTCCCACGTGGGTATCAAGAGACCCAAGAACGTGGGCCATTTCCTGCTTCCTTCCAAGGCTCATTAGCAGGAAGCTGGATAGGAAACAGAACCTCAAGGACTCCATCCAGCACTCTGATATGTGATGCTGACAACACAGCAGCACCTTAACAGTATGCCACAATGCCAGCACCTGTCCCAATCAAATTTTATTTCAATATTTATACCTTTTAAAATTTACTACATGTAGTATATTTTAGTATTTACAATATTACATATAATGCCATACTGCTAGTATAAGTCACATCTGCTTTCCCATACCAATAAGTTTTCTCTTTCTAAAAGGATGTATGCAATTATTCAAAACTACAAGTCTTTCAGCAGATAAAGTTAAAGCAGAAACTAAGCTCAGAGTTTACAAAAATAAATGATATGTGTAAAGACAAAAAATAGTTAATTTGGGGGGATGCATTCAGAATGCATATGATTACATAAGTGAGAAAGGTAGGAATTAATAACAAACTTGGAAGCGGGCATTGTGGCACAGCAAATTAAGTCACTGCTTACATTACCCACAGCCCATACTGCACAGCCAGATGCCCTGCTTCCAACCAGCTTTCTACTACACTCCTGGGAAATCACTAGGTGAAGGTCCAAGTACTCGGGTCCTGACCACGCATGCAGGTAATCCACATGCTGTTCTTGGTTCCTGACTTCCGTCTGGCCCAGAACTGTTGAAGCCATTTAGGTTGTAAATCAGCAGATGGAAGACATCTCTCTCTCCCTCCCTCCCTCTCTGTTGCTCTGCTTTTCAAAGGAAGGAAGGAAGGAAGGAACTAACAGTAAAAGTCTAAGAGGGTACAGTGCTTAATTACTTTACCAACTATGCAATAGTTTCCAAATGTAGCCTAATTGTCAACTGTGATATGAAAAACCAATAAATAGACTTAATTATGATTTTACTTTACCTTTCTAATTTGCTGTAGAGAGCACACAAAACATTATACTTCTTCAACAGTCTTGACATAGCACTATCAACTTTGGTACTTGTATCAATTTCTTTTAGTAAGTCGAAAAATTTATAGACACTACAAAAAATAGGAAAAAAACAAGTAACTTTCAAATTTGGTTTTATTTAATTTTCAAAGCATGGGCATATTGACACAAAAGAGCTCTACATTAAATCCCTATTATGTTTCCTGTAAAGAATTAATTTTTTGCATTCCACTAGAATTTAAAGAAAAATCAAGTACTCGTCATACCTACATCCTTATATATATTTGTGCTTATATTTGTTAATAGTTGAGAATGCAGGAGGGAAAGGTCATGAAGGGAAACACACATGCAGATTCATTTCTATATTAAATCTGTGTTTTAAAAACCATGGGATCACATCCATTTATCCTATTCCAACACCAACTCCTAAGGTTCATTCCAATTCTTCGACAGTAAGAAACCTGGAATTCATGTTTCTTTAATTTACTTATACATGTAATCAACCTCCCTGTGAATAATGTCCTTCCACCTTCAGAGTGAGTCACTACTCCAAATGAACACTTCCCTCTGCTGTCAGTCTGACACTATTTGGGACTGCATTCCTCACCTTCTCCACACGGCAACTTCCCCACCCTCTGCAGGCTCTGACCCCCACACCAGGCTCTCCTCACGTGACTCCTCACAAAGCTGCTAGTGCCACTCCCCGACACGGCCCTCCACTCCATGTGGATAGCCTCCCTCCTCCAACTTTGACATCTTTTCTGAACCCCATGACACTCCCCTGCCACAGATGTACACACTGATTCTTTGCCCAATCAATGGTTACAGAGCTGAGATGTTTGGGAAGTGAAAAAGAAAGATGATTAAAATGCTAAAGATGTTTGAAAGATAAATTTAAATCACTCATTATTAAAAAGTAAACCTATTTTAAACATCAATACATATATTTTTCAATAGAGCATCAAAGATAGCATCTCACATACTGATTAGTAACCAAGTTTGTAGGAAATTATACTAAAACAGTTAACTGAACCAGAAGGTAGCCACTGGACCTGTTTATACACAATCCAGCAACCAACAAAAGTGTCAGGTAAGCAGCACAGGGTACCAAACTCAAAAGAAAGTTACTAAAAGTTCCTGTGATATAAAAGCCATTGAAGTAGCATGACTGACTACATGGAAAAAGAAACAAAGGAGCAAGAATGATAGAAGAGACTATAGAAAATGGGGGCGAGTATGTGGCCCAGTTGTTAAAACCCTTGCCAGGGATGCCTACATTCCACATTGGAGTATGTGGTTTGAATTCAGGTTTTTCTTGCATATACTCTAGCTTCCTGCTAATGTACGGCCTGGAAGGCAGCAGGTGATGGCTCAAGTACTTGTGTCTGTCACCCATATTAATACCTGGAATAAGTTCCAATCTGCTGGCCAGGCCTAACCTTGGCTCTTGTGGGTTTTTAAAAAAATGAGCCAGCAACGGAAAAGTTCTCTGTCTCTGCTGCTTTGCTTTTCAAATAAAATTAAAATAAATAAAATATTTCTTAGAAGATGATAATCAAACTATTGACTAGAAGACAAAAGAGAATGAAGTAAAATGTGGACATATCCAAAGAAAAATAAATCAATCATAGGACAACGCTTTGTTACAGTTTCCTTTTTAACTTTTAAAAAATGTATTATTTCATCTATGCTTGATTCATTTGAAAGGCAGAAAGAAAGAGAGAGGGATAGAAAAAGATCAAGATCTCACATCTGATGGTTCAGTCTCCACATGTCTGAAGCAGCAGGGGGCTGGTCAGGCTGAAGCTACAAGCCCAGAAAAAACCCAGGGCTCCAAAATGTGTTGCAGAGATGCAACCACTTGAACTGTCATTGCTGCCTTCCTGGGTGCACTTCAATAGAAGGACAGAATCAAGTGTGGAGCCAGGCTCGAGCTCCAGCACTACCATTTCACACACAGGCACCCTAAGTGCTAGCTTAACGTCCATGTCAAACCCCGGCACCTCAGTTCCAGTTTTTACGAGGTACATGACTAAACCTGTTATTAAACCACAACAACTGTCAATTGTTAAAATGAAGTCTTCTTTTTTTGTTTTGTTTGTTTTAGAAATAACTTAAGGAATGGAAGCACTAAAGGAGGAAGTTCAAGTTTGTATTGCATTGTATTGCAGATATTGTCTCGATGAACTATCAACATTATTTTATCTTATATTTGTACATTTATGAAAATTCAAGATCTTTGTTTCTACCCTCTGGAGGTAACAGACATTACTAAAAGAACAGTAAATTTCACTAACTTAAATAAAACACTAATTATTTTTAATTCTAAAAGGTTTTCTCCAAAAAGAAGTACTACAACTACTTCTTTGGTGAAACTTTACTGCTGCATTTATGCTGCAATGGAAACAACAACAAGTCTTGGAGGGTTTCTTAGAGTAAAATTAATGAGTTATGGAAACAAATTAGGAGACTCTCCTAAAGCTTATAAGCACAACAATAAATATTAATTAAGTAATTACTTGGTCAAGTATTATATTTTATATTCAAGTGACTACACATTCTGAAACATGAGGTAATTACAGTCTCTACTCTGTTAAAACAATCTTAAATTTCAATTTCCTCTAAACTCTTACAGCTAGACGACTTCCACAAAAGTTTTAGTAATACAAGTATTGCATGTATATCTACTTTATAAACTCCTATGTTTATGTCTAATTTGTCAACAGCAGCAAATAACAAAGTTCATAGGTAAATAACGCGAGACATAAAAAGTTTCCCAAGAAAAATTGCCATACTGTTCAGAAACATCAAAAACAATTTTTTTCATTAAGGCTTCTATTATAGAAAGACCCAAGCCCTGTGCATTTTCACTCAGTTTTGGCATTCATCACTAATTCTCTAAAGTCTGTGCAAGCAAAGTCCAGAAGCAGTTTAATAGCAGAGGTCAATGCAACAGAAATTTTACCTTATTTCTATGCTTTTTTGTAGCTCAGTAAAAGTGAATGGCATGTCATCAAGGTCAACTGCTGCAATGAAGATACAGATTCCCCACAGCTTCTTTTTCTTTTGATTATAACCTCCCTGGAAAAAAAAAGTTCAAATATTTCATCATGTCATTTACACACTGGCTGCGGTAAACTGTGCTGTATGCCTTTTGCTTATTGAGCTTAAGAAAATAAATGTGTCTGATGGACTATGTCAATCAGTGGATTTTTCAAAGATCTCATAGTGCTTGGAGTGGCAAGATTGACAGTGATTCATAACTGTGGCAATATCAAAACCACTTGAGCAAGAACCTCAGAGCATGCCCTACATCCGGGACCTGGGGAGGGTGGGAAATTGGGTGGGCTTCTCCCTTAAATACCCCCCTTTAAATATGAAGCTAACAATATGAAAAACATACTAGTATTATCCACTTTCCTGTAGCCCTTGAACCTTCTTACCCTAATTAACTATGTAAAGAATGTCAAAATAAAATTTATTAATAAGAAAAAAAAAAGAAAATAAATGTGTCTCCAAATATTCACGGTGGCTTTTATTTGAAAACATTTCAAATGTATTAATAATATTCAAATTCTACATTCTAAGACAAAAAAATTACAAGACCAAAAATGTGAATTATGACTTACTGTGATAACTATACAAATCAGTCAATTCTTTGAATAGCTTCATTTTTCAATAACCCAATATAACCAAAGGACATGCTGAAAGATTTTGAAATCTGTAACTAGTTTTCTACTTCATTATTTGATTATCCTTTCTTTGTTCTTATTTATTCTTTAATCAACTTACTAATTCAAATTTTTTAAAACTGTGTAATTTTTTATTACTTAATTACCTTCTTTCTAAAACAAAAATAATACCTCAATTTTCTGAGAATTGAGATAACATTTATACAGCACAGTGTTTGCACAGTATTTAGTATTCAAGGAGTGATGGCTTACCATTATCACTAGCATATTTTCTCATTATCATTATAACACTTTTTTCCTTACCAATATATACCACCTTTTAAATATGTATGTTTTATGGGTAAAACTGCACTATATTGTTAAAAACAGTCAAATTATCTAATATTCTACTAAGCAATGAAAACTCTTCGCTTATACTTTCTTTAATTTTTTTTTTTTGATGATGTTTACATAGTTGATCAAGGTGGGAAAGGCTGCTAATTAGGGGCAACTGGGTGTTTCCAAATTTTCTTTTTCTTCCTCCTGTATCTGGGAGAAGAGAAAAGATAAGGGGAGAAGCCACACCCAACCTCCCAACTGCCTCAATACCCAGGGATGGGAAATGGCCACCAGATGTCATCCCAAGGTCCCCAGTATAGAGTATGTTCTAAGGGTTTTGCTCAAGTGGTTTTGATAGTTATGACAGGCTGTCGATCTTGCCAAACCAAGAATTAGGCGATCCTTCCAAGGTCCATTGGCTCACACAGTCTCTACTTTAGAGTCTCCATGCGCCGAGATATTCGCTGTTAATGCTTGACTAGGGAAGTTGACCAATTTATTCTGCCCTCCTTCCTCTGCTATGGTACCAGATATATTCAGCAGGCCCCAGTGGACTGCCATATCCTCCATGTGCATCTGAGTATGCCATCTACTGGTCAGTCTTAGCTACTGAGGAGGCTCAGTTCTGACACATTCACTCCACAGTCCACAGATCCTGCAATTCTCCCCATGGTTGGAGTTTTGAGTCTTGAGTCCAGTGATTCAGGTGAAAGGATCCCCAAGGAACCTCATCTAAGGTGATCCCAGACCTGACTCTTGTGAATGCTTGCCAGTATGGAGTCTGGCTCAGTACATCACCCACATCAGCCTACGCACACATTGGTAGTTGCAATTTCTGTGTCAGTTCTGTCTCCAGCCCCATCTCTTATGCAAATCAATGGATGTTGTGGCCCAGCCCAACCCAGCCCAAAATACACGTGGTCCTCACATACACCAGCAGGAACTACAGCCTAGTTAGAACAATCTCAAGTTACCCTCACCAGTGTTATGAACTGGTCCAACCTGGCCCACTCCCAGACCTGACCCACACATATGCTGGCGGGTACTATAACCTGGCCTGGTCAGTGTTGCTCCCAGCCTTGGTTCTTGCATTCATCTAAGGGACTGTATCCTGACAGAGGTGTTCCACAACCTCCTCGATCATGTCTCCTTTCAGTGGCAGATCTCACGTACATCAGTGGGCCCTTGGTCCAGACTGACTTAATCCACCTCCTATTCTGGCAAGAAAAGCAGCCTTGCCCAACCAGCCCACACTCATTCTGGTTCTTACTGTTGGGTGCTACAGTCCAGACACAGTTCTTACGTGACTCAGCGAGTGCCTAGATCTAGCCCAGGTCATCCTGCAGCCACCCTGGCTCTCACGAGCACTAGCGGGTGCTGGAGTCTAGTCCAGTCTGGTTCACCCCAGACCCAGTACCCACCTATGCTGAGAGACATTGCAGCCATGTCTAGCCCAGACTGTCACCCCCATTCCAGCTCTCATGTTCACCAGTGGGAACCATAACCCAGCAGGAGTATCCCCTGAGCTCCCCAACTGGGTGAGTTCCCAGCCCCTGAAATTGTGCATGCCAGTAGTTGCTCTGATCCAGCTCAACACAGCTAATCCTCTGTTTTGGCTTTTGCCATCAGAAGCTGCATCCTGCACTGGCCCAGCTCACGCCCAGTCCCAACTCTCAATGGTGGGTGCTGTACCCTAGATTTGCTCATTCTACTTCAATTTCTGGCTCACGCAAACCAGTAGGTATGATAACCTAGCCTAGCATGACCCGCACTCCATCCTGGCTCCTCCACATGCCAGTATGCTAAGGTTTGGCCTAACCATGCCCAGTCCGCTTCCCTCCAGAACCTACCCAGACACTGGCTAACAAGTGAAGAGCCCTACCTGGCCTAACCAAACCCAGGTCTGAATCACCTGCTCACCAGCGGGAGCTACTAGCCACCAGAGGAGTTTCTCAAATTCCCCTACCAAGCCCATTCCCAGACCCAGATCTCACACGTGCCACTGGATGCTGGGCCCTTAATCAGCAAAGTATGTCCCTTTCCAAACTAGCCTTTGTAAAAATTTATTTTTTAATTATTTTTTTTTTATTAGAAAGGCGGATATACAGAGAGGAGAGACAGAGAGGAAGATCTTCCGTCCAATGATTCACTCCCCAAGTGAGCGCAATGACCGATGCTATGCCGATCTGAAGCCAGGAGCCTCTTCTGGGTCTCCCACACGGGTGTAGGGTCCCAAAGCTTTGGGCCGTCCTCGACTGCCTTCCCGGGCCACAGGCAGGGAGCTGGAAGGGAAGCGGGGCTGCTGGGATAGAACTGGCGCCCATATGGGATCCTGGGCGTGCAAGGCAAGGACCTTAACCACTGCGCCACTGCGCCGGGCCCCAAACTAGCCTTTGTATGTGGTGGTGGATGTGGTAACCCAGCCTGCCCCACACCCTATTCTTGGGTGCACCTGTGGGTGCTACAGCCTGGATTAATCCATTTCTTTACTCTTACTAAAAGATCCCAAAAGAGCTGAAAAAAATAATTAATTTTATATTTTGAAATTTCAATTATATACAACTTTAGGACAAATGATTGTCATAGGTTGGAGTGTTTTATGAATAAATATTTAGCACCATCCAACTCTAAACTTTTCCCTAAGATTAGATACTTGTGATACAAATAATTATAGCACAGGCCTAATTATTTGTATCACAAGTATCTGGGCTGATATGGCTAAAGTCCCCATCTTGAACTCGCTGGCATCCCCTATGGGCACTGGTTCTAATCCTGGCATCCCCGTTTCCCATCCAGATCCCTGCTTGTGGCATGAGAAAAAGTCAACAAAACCAAAGCACTGGAACCCTGCACCCACGTGGGAGATCTGAAGGAAGCTTCAGACTGAACCATGGCACTTAAAAATTAATACATTCTAATGTGTCCTTTGATCCATTCCACTCATCTACTTGTCTATCTTTTCACCGGGAGCACAAGGTCTTGACTATCTCGGTTTTCTTTTTGATGTCTTATTCATTTTTACTTGAGCTTGGTTCAAGATTTTTCCATCTCAGAGTACTATGATTGAACTCTGTGCAAACAACACTACAGGGGGCGTGACGCTGGGCTGAGTCGACAGCTGCACAGTGGTAATATCTCCTTAGACCCGGGGAAGCCTCAGCACCCACTTCCCCCTGCAAGCTCTCGTTCCAGATTAAGAAGAGCAGAACAATTCTAGTGGAAGGGAATAATTCATGCGGAAGGGAACTGACTCCTTCGCCAGTGGACACCGCCTGTAGTCCGCAGGAGCCAGCGCACATGCGTGGAAGAAGCCGCGGGCGCATCCATGGCTCCTTGCTGCCGCCGTGAGGGGACGAGAGGCAAGTGGATGACGAGCCTGCTCCCAATTCTGCCCTGGCGTCTGTTATTTCCTCCTGATGATGAAGAGGATGCATAAGGAAGGTGCTGAGCACATTATTAAATTGCTGAATGGGGGGGGGGGGGGACTAAAAACTGTGAGATTCCTTCAACAATCAATGTCATAGTTCTAAACTCCAAGCTTCCTATAGTGTTGCTCCATTTTTTCAAGCATTCTTTATTCCATTTTTTTTTTTTTTTACATTAGTGTTTCTAACATTTTCACTACTAGGATCCTTAAACTCAGTGCTGTCAATTTGTATCCACTTCTCTTTTATGAAATGATACTTATGAATTCCTCTAACAAATGGATATTCTTACAGGTTTTTTAAATTAAAAATCCTTGGGTCCTAGCACTGTGGTGTAGCGAGCTAGATAGCTACCTAAGATACAGGTATCCCTTCTGGACACTGGTGTGATACCTAGCATCTTCAATTCTGATCCAGCTCCCTGCTGATATGCCTAGAATAGCAGCAGAAAATGGTTCAATTCCTGGGGCCCTGCACTCCTTTGGGAGATCCAGAAGAAGATCCTGGCTTCTGGCTTCAGCCTGTTCCACCCAGCCCCAGCCATTGCAGCCATTTGGAGAGTGAACCAGCAAATGGAAGATTTTTCCTTCTGTCTATATACTAGAAATTTTAAAAAGAAAAAAGGAAAAATGTTGAGACATTAGGT